TGCGTAGGCCTATGTAACTAATGGTTGTGGCAGTTGTCGAGGCTACGTGATATTTTTAGAACTGTTCCCATCAGGTGAAGTGAAGGATTCGCCCTTTGCATTTGCCAGTGTTTCTTGCACACTGTTTTTGGTCAACATGACTCTTCTTTAAGTGTGGCTCTCTATCCTTGGTTAAATCTTTGCCCCAATGCGCACCCATTTGTTACCCGTTAATCCGGAGTGACCATTGAGTTTGCTGTGAATATGCAGCTGCATGTGCATAGATGGCAACTCCTTGCACATAAATGGAGCACTTCCGCCTGTTGATTTTCCATCACTCTATGGGGATGTGATGAGTTAGAGGCTATTCCTGTGTTAATTGAAATTGGATTCCGTTTGCTGATATTGGACGCAGATTTTTATAGTGGTGAGTTTCATGCCATGCTAAGTCCTTAGTGGCTGAGATGCCGAAGGCGTCCCCTAATGCTGGTGAGGCACACGGCTCGAATGATAGGAGGGTTTTTGCTGTTAAATCACTGCTTCTGCTCACGGGGTGGTATTTGTCAGTATTGAATGAAGAGCACTATTGGTTAGGGTCCAACTCTGAGCCCTGAGGCAATGCTCCCTGAGTCAGGGTTCGCAGCTGGGGCCAAAGCTTCTACCCTCATGCATGTGATGGGTTAAATTTGCCGTAATGCTTACATTGATGATGCGGTTTCTCCTCTCAAGTAGCTGGCTGCTTACTGCGCAAAAGAAATAGTGGGGGATGTTGATTTTTACCCCCTAGATATCCGTTTTGCAACAAATTGTCGCTATTACTAGAACTGCGCACGGCAAGGAATAAAGTAGTCAGCATTAGGTAGAGTGCATATCAGAGGAAGGTGTGGGCGCGTGCGCTAATCCCCTTACTGACTGCACGTCTAAACTGGTACATTCGCCTTTCCTAGTGCCTGAATTCCCAACCACTTTCTTTTCATTAATCTCGTCCCACAAATTTATTACAGGCTTGTATAATCATTGGAGTCGTAAATCGGATTGTTGGACACACTTTATGGCAATCGCATAATCAATGCCCACCCGAAAGCTGGAATGGATGATGATACCATGTGTGATGAAATGCCATAATTATTGTTGGTTAATACCATACCACATCTCATATTCTGTTTGGAATTAGAGTAACAATGGCTGAGTTAATGACAATTCTATCAACTTCCTCTTGTAATATGACCAGTACTCACGATGGCACTGAATGCTGGCACTATAATGGTCGACAACATTCAGTTGATAATGTCTTGTTTTTATTTAATTCGTGGTAGGAGATAGAACAAAGGGCGGAATACATTGGCCTATGCACCCGGACGACGACGACGACGACGATGATGATGATGTCGGGCACACCAAACGCAGGTGGTGGACCACATGGAAGATGGTCATCGTAGCGGAGACCAACGGAGCTACAATGTTTATTGTGAAGCAGTGCGAATGGAAGTCATCGTCGAGCCAGATGGAACCACTGTGTGACATTCTACTTGCATTTAGATACTTTGGACAAAACTGCACTCAGGGAAAGTGGTTTGCTCAATCGCTGAATAGGAGGACTCACACCTTGTGCTGGAATTAGGATCCCTACATTGCCGCCGCAGTGGGCCTGGATGGAGGATGGTGTCGCCAGCCTCGCAGTGCCGACTTTACCCGATGAGGCAGCTCTCACCACTGGAGCCCTGGATGGCAGCATGACAGGTGAGCAAATCCACTCTCACTTTGTCGTCATTTCTCACGCCAATTTCAATGCTATGGGTTGCATGAGTGAAATGATATCGTCCACTTGTACTGTCACAGTTAGCCTAAAATAACCTTACGAGCATGCTTTATGCAAAGGGTGATGTTGAGGCCTAATGCATGGCAAATGTCGAACTTTGAGTATCGCTGTTCAAGCAGGACTTGCGTGGTAATTAGCAAGGTGATTAGCAAATTCGCTTCACACATCCTCAAGGCAACCTGTCTCACCACGTGACTGCCATTTCAATGCACTTAAGTGGTGCTAAATGTAGTGACATATTGCTCGTGAGAGGTGTGGATTGCAAGCACGCAATGCATCGAGAGAGGGCTGTCGTCCGATGAAAACAAAGGCACTCGATTTCTGCGAAATCTGCGTCACTTGCAGTAAGTTCAAAAGCCAATAACTCACAGTGATCGCACCACGTCATCCTTTACGCATATGGTTCCCAACGAAGGCGCATTTATTGACATCACAAGTCCGCTGCCACCCACCATGAGAGAGAAGTGACACGTCCTGGTTATGGTAGGGTATTTCAGGAAAGTAGATGACGTAGAACATATGAATACGCAAGATGCAGAAATGGTTACTTTATTTTCTTCATTTGGTAGATTTGTCAGTGTAGAATGTCTGAATCAATTCATAGGCAACAAAAACCTTGATTTTGAAAGCCGAACCTTTATTGGACTATGCGAGACCTTTTAGATCTCACAGACAAGGACAATGCCTAAGCAATGGCCGGGTGATAAGAGGAAGTCACATTGTAATTGAACTTATGCAAGTTTACACCAAGGATGCACAACCAGAAGACTGAGATTTAAGCCTAGGACATGTCCTTCTCGCGTACTGTCGTAAAATGAGGGTGTCTCTCAGTGTTTTTCTATCGAACACAGAAATAGCAAACAACAATGCCCCCGCCAACGTACTGTGCCTGAAAAATGGCATAAGAAAAGTGTTAAAATAGCACGTTGATACTTACGACTGTCTAATTATCAAGGAGAAGAAATATGGCTACACACATAACTGGACTAACGTCCACGGAAAAGGACACATAGTAACAATGTAGAGGTCAATTCCCCCACTCACACTGCACCTCAAGTTTCACTACCAATGGTGCAAAGATCCATTCTGAGTGTGTAAGTCCCCTCACCTACAAACTACTTTGTCCGCGGTGCACAACTCCGTACTCATCCAACAACCGTTCACCTGAAGAAGATGCGGACCTACAAAGCTACACCGCCGCTTGGATACGTAGATGAAGTCTAAGCACAAATGCAGGAAGGAAAGCCACCCGATGGTACGTTTATATGTAACTCACAAGGGAAGCAACGGGATTATGAAATGCTTATGCTGTTTAAAGGGGTCTTTAGGGTGACAAATGTTTTGCGAAATCTGAGCTCGTAGTGGAGGTGTTGCACGCAGAGGCTTTCCTGAAGACGAAAGATGACATAATACTTGGACAGAATATACATATTCGGCACAAAGAAGATATTTGGGCTACTGGCATGGACTTAAGGCCAGCCCACCCAGCTTGGTAGCAAGGCCAAGTCAAAATAGGTTCCTCGTTAATACTGAGAGATGAACAACCATCGTATTACAGAGGAGTGGTCAGAATTCCCCCAGGCAAAGAAGGGCTCAGTATCCGAACTTTCCTAAACCTGTGCTGATTGAAATTAGTGGTGAATAGCAAACGTACTTTAATCGAATCACACTGTTAGCTAGAGAACTGTGGAGACTAGAGAGGCGGGATAAATGTGAAATGTCACGATATATGGGGTATATTTCCGTACTCTAACTTAAAAATGCTTTTTTTACCTAATATAAAATACAGCAAATGGTGCGCTTACAGACTCCTTCTTCTAATATAAACAGCATTGCTGATTTAAATACCACCTTTTCATTTTACTGCGTACATTTTCCTTCGTATACGAATTTGTCTGCATTTCTTTTTCGACAGTAAATGTTGTCAAATTTTTGCATATGCAAATGTAGCAAGGTTCCAAACGGTCTTTAGATGACAAAATTAGTGCCATCCTGAATTTTTTGCACTAAAAACCCCTAATGTTAAATAACTTTTCAATCAGCACTGGTTCGTGTAATTTGCCATTTTCAAGGTCATCTGCTGTACTTTAGTACGTGGTCTGTCCGTACGGGTGGCGCTTTGCGGATTCTAATAACGGTAGCGTTTTGACTAGGTAGGTTCTAGTTGTTGAAAAAGAGGAAAACCGTTGAACTGTAGAATTCGTTTAGTGTCAGTGACTGTCCAGACCTAGAGGTGGACATGAATGTATCTTTGTGATGTCGCATCTGTTGGGCTTCGAGAGATCAATGAAGAAAACCAAATTTGGAATTGGACTTTGCTATCGCTCTGTACCTCTCTCAGTTACGAATGGGTGTTAACTTTTAAGTTGCTGGGATATACCCCGTGTCTTAACGACTTTAATGTAAGTGCTTTCGGGGATAATTTGGCATTAATCTATTTTCTGGAAGTATTTTCACAGTTGCTTGAATACAGTTGCAATCTCCAGCTTTTTATAATGCCCATGTCGGTAGAATTTGTCGTACCTGTGGAACGCGGACACAGCTGTGGTACCCTTTAAAAGGGTACTTGAGTATGCTCCTCTCCATTGGTGATCTGGGTCGCGTATTCCGCAACTTCAGCAGACACGATTTAAATAAACACAATCCGTGATGGTAAAGATTCTGCTACAAGTGGGGCGTTGATGTGCAGCCTACGTCTCCGATAGAGTAATTGTTAATCCGCCGAATCGAATGGCAAGGTTATCACATGATTAAGATTGTGCCCCTACATCTAGTTGTATTGCGATAGGTACAGGGGTGTTTTTCGGGCTGGAGGATGTTGGCGCGGGTGATGGATTGGTGGGGACTTCAAATTCTGCCAGGGAAAATGGAGGCGAATGAACACATGAAGTTGTACGCTAGCTCTATTCTTTCTGAGTCCTCGAGGGGCATGTGCTGCGTCGAGACTGTACCGCTGCTAACGGATGTTTCAGCAATTGGTATTCGCTGATGAATTTTCGTTAAAACTGCAGGAAGTCTACAAAATGTGGTGCAGCACCGTGACCCCTACATTCTTGACGTGATTGGTGGAAAGAACCAATCGTCAGTACGAATGAAGAGTGTGGATACATGGAGGCGG